ATCGCATCTACATCTACAAAGTCAAAACCACCCCACTGAATTGCTCCGTCACCACTAAGCAAAACGCCTCAACCCCAGTGGGCATACCACCTCTGACCGTAGAAATCGGTCAACGTGCGGATAATATCGCCTCACCTGCCCTCACGATGCCAGTTGCCCGACTGCGAAGTGAAAGCTTTCGACGTAGTAACTGGGTAATTTTGGCCTACACACATAGGTCATTACTGCCAGTTAGAAAGCCCCGCCGTAGACCGCGGAGTTACTCTTTCGTAGCAACCAGGCTTCCTCCCTGGGCACCAACAACAAGCCATCCAACCTGTCCTAATGTCAGTGTTAGTTTGGAGCTAGGTAAACTTTCGTTAAGCACTCACGTACGTGTCTAAACGGAGATGATAAAACACCCCACCCGCACCTCTATCACAACTTAATTGAAACCAGGCACAGCAAACACGATCCGAAACGCACCATGTATAGATCAAAAAGGCAACAACGCCATAAAAGGGCCCCTAAACCACTTCACCCCTAGACTCGTCTGACAACCAAAATGAAACTAAACACGCAAAAGAACTGTCAAACCTCGGCAGCAAGAGATGTCACTATTGCGAACCAACCTTGATGTGGTGAAGTGTCCTTACTAACACATTAAAATGCATAGCGGTAGCATGTTAGAGCACGGTAGATTGCGCTAGGTACGAAAAGCAGGTGCACAAACGTTTAAAGTGAAGAGTGCTCAAAAGCCACAAGCGGTGCAGTCTACTCCACCCATGCCATTGTAAAGTGTTGTTAGTAAATAAGAAAACATCAGTACTGTGGAAAAAGGAGCGTTTTATTGAAAATAAAGGAGCGGAAAGTAAAGGAGATAGAACAAGACAGCCAGGTCATAACTGCAGTTCAAGACGAATGGAATATGAATACATTTGCAGTGAAAATAGTAGAGACGATAGCAATGCCCAGGACAAGGTCTTTAGTATCTTGCCAATTTCCAGGGCAATAACCGAATGAAAAATGAAGGTCCTAGTTTTTAACGTTACCGACCTGTGGTGCGTTTACTCTCCGCAGTTTATTTTGTCACCAAATGGCATGCAACCAACTCAGGTTCGAATTTAACAATATACACGTAGGAGGATTGGACTTCCGGAAATCAGGTTCCTCAACAAATTCCCAATGGATTGAGGCCTTCGGTTTGACACCGGTGTAGCACGAACTTCATCCGAAGGTCACGGACGTTAAACAGCAGAAGTTCCTCCTTAAACGTAAATGAAGGCAGTACTTAAGTACTGCTTCGAATCGGAGCAGCCAATAAAAATTTCCTTTATGAATTCAAGGATATCCTTGTATCCCACATAAAGCAAAGTGGCGATTCTAGGAAGGACCGTTGCGGAACACCACGACGGACGTTTCACGTAGGATGTGCATTCTACGAGTTTACACTTCTAGAATGCATATATGCATTGTTTCGCTTGACAAGGACGTATTCGATTCGCTTCCGGCCGGTCAAAACTAACGATACGAATCGCTTCTGAATCGGAACAAATTCGTAACTCTTTGCTATTAGGGATACGCCAAATTGGCGTTTTGGGGATAAATTTAATTCACATTATGAAATCTCTACGCGAACTATAGGCAGAAGACTTAACGAGTAGATGATTGCTTATCATAACGAAGTTCTTACTATTACGGGGAACGACATGGTATAATTTTCGAATGTCACCAACGTTTGAGGACTCCTCCCTGAAGGCTCTATTCAAACCCAATATTTTTTGACTTTGCCGTCATTTCCCGAGGTTGGTAAAAGCGGCTAAATTCGCTAGAATTTCCTCCAGCTGTCTGAGCAGACAAGTGTGTATGCTTTTGTACATTTTTGATTTGTTTTACAACACTTTCTTTAACATTTGACTTTCTTGTATATTTGTTTGACTAAACGGAAATACACGATAACAACTTTGTAAAGTCTCAAAATTATTATTAATTCATGCGAGCTGACGGGGACTCCCTCCTCACGAGCCTACTTCACCATATCATCGCGGAGCCAACTGCCTCTATTCAACCGGTTCCTCAGCGGAATGCTATCTCGCTACTTGAGAGGATTCTACTTTGCGTGAGTCTGGAACATTCCTTTTCTGATTCTTCGAATCTGTACATCCCCATTTGGAATTAGTTTTTCTTGTATATATTACTGTTTGTCATTTTTAAGTCCTCGTTTCCACTTCATAATTGGTGACCCCGATTTCGAACCTTTTTTTATTTACCATGGCCATTAACGACTCCCAAAAAGACTCACTGGACATGAACACCCTTCCCTTTAAACTGCCACTGTTTACACCGAACAATCCTCGCGTTTGGATTTAGGCAGATCGAGGCTCTTTTTGCGACAAGCCGCATTACTAGCGAGCGTACCCGCTATTCACACGTGTTGCAGTCTCTTCCATTTGATGTAGCTGTCACCGTCAAAGACCTCCTTGACCCCATTACAGCCGACGAACCGTATACGCTGCTGAAGGAAGCGGTAATCCAACGGGTGGCTAAATCGGCCAACCTTATGCTGCGGGAACTTTTCACGCAAGTATAGCTAGGTGATCAGACACCTTTACAGCTCATGCGTCACATGCGCTCACTTTACGCTGGTAATACATGGACGACGCCATTTTTCGTGAGATTTGGTTAGAAAAGTTAACAGTGCCAATGCAACAGGTTTTGGCTATGTTGGACTCGGATACACCCTCAGAGGAGCTAGCTACCCAAGCTGACAGAATCAACGAGTATTACCCCAATATTCCAATATTCAACAGCCCCCGCCTTCCAAAGGCAAGCCCCATCAGGGCATTGACTTTGATTCAGAAGGCCCAGCGTTATCAGAGCACGACACTCCCTATACCGAAAAAGCACCATGCTGTTTCGCAGCCTGACGAGCGCCCACATCAGCCAGTCCTCCCAGAACACCCACCGACGCTTATCACACTGATTACGACGACCTAAGAGACACACTGCGCCTCCTTTCCACTCAGGTGAGCAACATGTGCTCTGCTCTTAACAGTCTTCAATCAGCTAGAGAACAGCCATACTCACATCGTCGGTCTAAATCACGTGAGGGGCGTTCACAACCATTATGTCGGTATCATCGCACTTATGGTCCAAAAGCCCAAAAATGTATACCTCCTTGTTCGTTCGCTCGTCCTTCACAGTTAAACGACCACGCCAGCCAGTAATGGCGACGTCTGCTGCTGGCCCGTCGCGACCCAGTCGCCTTTTCTATGTCAACGACAAGTCGAGCGGCCTCAGTTTCTTAGTTAATATCGGTGCCGAGGTCAGTGTCATCCCGTCTCTAAGGCGTCACCGCCTCAAGCCTTCGCAATTCTCATTGCAGGCTGCAAATAGCACCACAGTCAGCACCTACGGCCAACGGTCTCTCACTTTAGATTTTGGTCTCCGGCGACGTTTTCAATGGGTCTTTATTGAGACTGACGTCAAATTGCCCATTATCGGGGCCGACTTTTTGTCATCTTTCGGCTAACAGTCGATGTCGGATACCATCACCTCACAGACACAACCACCCAACTCTTTACCATAGGTACCATTAGCTCTGAACGTTCGGTTGTCATTCATCTCACCATCGCCAGCACCCCATTGGCTGACATATTTAAGAACTACCCGTCCATCACTAAACCATGTCATTTTACCAAAACCGTTCAACAGTGAGTGAAACACCACGATGTCATGGCAGGGCAACCAGTACACGCTCGTCCGCGTAGACCCCACCCTGAGAAGCTACGAATAGCAAAGAACGAATTTGAACATATGATGAATATGGGCATTATACGCCTTTCATCTAGCCCATGGGCCTCACCACTGCACATGTTGCCAAGGAAGTCATCTGCCGATTGAAGACCTTGCGGTGATTATCGAGCCCTAAACACGTCCACAATTCCTGACCAGTACCCCACTCCTCACATTCATGACTTTTCCCACATGTTAGCCGGTAAAATTATTTTTTCAAAGATAGACCTCGTCAGGGCGTAACACCAAATCCCGGTCGCTAGGGAAGATATCCCAAAGACCGCTATCACGACACCCTTTGGGCTGTTCAAATTTATTCGCATGTCTTTTGGTTTGCGCAGTGCTGCCCAGTCGTTTCTGCGCTTTATTGATGAGATCTTGCGGGGCCTTCCATTCGCTTACGCCTACATCGACGACATTCTCGTCGCAAGCTCTTCGGCAGAGGAACATGCCTCGCATTTACGCCTCATATTCGATCGTTTCCAGCAACACGGTTTGCAATTAAACGTTGACAGATGCGTTTTTGGCATTAATTCTCTCGATTTCCTTGGCCATCACGTCGATAAGCACGGAATCACTCCACTTACAGAGGAGGTGCAATGCATCTTGTCTTTCCCTGTTCCCAACACACGCACTCAGCTGCGACGTTTCATAGGCCTTATCAACTATTACAGACGTTTTATTCCCCATTGTGCGGCAATCCTGGCTCCCTTGACTGATCTTTTGAAGTCGAAAGCAAAACCTATTGAACTTTCACCGGCAGCCCATACAGCTTTTGAGGAAGCGAAGAAGGCTCTTTCCGATGCAACTATGCTGCACTCCTCAGCTCTGACGCTCATTTTGACCACTGACGCTTCCAGCAGTGCTGTCGGCGCAGTCTTGCATCAACAGGTGTATAACCAGTTGCAGCCTTTAGCTTTCTTTTCACAGAAGCTACAACCGGCGCAAACTCGCTACAGTACTTTCTGTCGCGAGCTTCTTGTCATCTACTTGGCCATAGGTCACTTTCGACACCTTTAAGAGGGCAGAGACTTTTCTGTCCACACCGACCATAAACCTCTCACCTACGTCCTCAAGGCCAAGCCAGATTGCTACTCGCCTGGGGAAGTTCGTCACCTGGACTATATATCGCAGTTTACTGCAGATATCCGCTACGTCCGAGGCAGCGACAATGTCGTTGCTGATGCATTATCCCGTCCGGACATCAACACATTCACATGCGATTTCGAGCTGGCGAAGCTTGCGGACCTCCAAACCGCAGACGAGTCCATCGCGGACTTACGTACGTCTGCTACTCTGCAGCTTCGAGATGCACCACTTCCTGCGTTTCCAGGTACGATTATGTGCGATTGGTCCACAGGCACCCCTCGTCCTGTTGTTCCACTATCCTATCGTAAGGTCGTCTTTGACCACTTTCTCTCCTTCTCCCACCCAGGCATTCGCGCCAGAAGAAAGTCAATTGCGGCTCGTTTTGTTTGGCCGAAGATGGATTCCGACATTGCTCTTCGGACCAAACAGTGTCTCGCATGCCAGAAAAACAAGGTGCCTCGACACACCTTCTCCCCTCAAGGTAGCTTTGCGGTCCCGGACGTTCGATTTAATCACGTTCACTTGGATTTAATCGGACCGTTACCCCCTTCACGTGGGTACACACATATCCTGACGGCAGTTGACCGTTTCACACGATGGCCGATTGTCGTTCCTATCTCGGATACCTCGGCAGAAAATATCGCCATTGTTTTTCTGACCCACTGGATCTCATCTTTTGGTGTTCCAGCCACCCTTACCACTCACCGCGGAAGTTAATTTCAATCTAGCCTCTTCCGTGAGTTCACTAGACTGCTCGGGTGTGCGCACATCACAACCACGGCATATCATCCTGCCTCCATTGGCCTCGTTGAGCGTCTACACCGCCAACTGAAGTCCCCAGTGAGGTCCCAAACAGAGTCAGGTACTTGGAGTGTCAATCTCCCTCTTGTGCTTTTGGGGATCCGATCTTCTGTCAAGGAGAACATCCAATGCACTGCCGCCGGACTTGTGCACGGTACACCCCTCCGTCTGCCCTGCGAATTTGTGTAGCCTTCAACGACAATAACTTACATTCCGAGGACCTTCATACAACAGTTGAAACAACGCATGGCTCAACTGCGTACAACCCCCACTCGTCTGACATCGAAACATGTGTTTGTACACGAGGACCTTAAATCTGCCACCTTTGTTTTCTTCCGGCATGACGCAGTGCGCAAGCCCCTTTGTCCTCCCTACGATGGCCCATATAAGGTCGTTTAGCCGAAAGACAAGTTTTACGTCCTTCAGAAGGCTGATAATGCTGACACGGTCTCCACTGACCGCCTTAAGCCAGCCTATCTGGAGTGCCTCCCAGCGACCAGTGCTCCATCCATTCCCCATACTATGTCCTTACCCGATACACCCATTCCGCTCACCTACCCTACATCACCACACTTGACCATTCTACCCACCCAACCGGATCCTCCTCCTACACCACCGCCCAGTTCATCTCGTTCCGGTAGACATATCCGTTTTCCCGCCAGACTTAAAGACTTTGTGGTATAATTTTTTTTCTTTTATCGAGCGTTTTGTTCCTTTTGCAAACGTCCTGGTAGGGGAGTTGTGTAGGCTTTTGTACATTTTTGATTTGTCTCACTGCACTTTCTTTAACATCTGACTTTCCTGCACCTTTATTTGACTAAACGGAAAAACACGATAACAACTTTGCCGTGGCCAACATGTGTTCTGGTTTCGAGTGTGCTTGATGCCGTTATTTCTTGGCCTTCGCTTGTAACCGCTCAACATTCTTATCAATTCGTATGACCTGACGGAGACTCCCTCCTCACGAGTCCACTTCACCATATCATCGCGGAACCGACTGCCTTTATTCAACCGGTTCCTCATCGGAACACTATCTCGCTACTTGAGAGGATTCTACTTTGCGTGAGTCGGGAACATTCCTTTTCTGATTCTTCGAATCTGTACATCCTTTTTTTATTTTTTTCTTTCGTTGATCCAGTCACTGCGGCGCTGGTGGAGGCTTTAAAACCCACCAGGAGCGCTGGGGACCCACCGATGAGTCGAACCCGTCGCTGCAGTTGTATCATGCAGTGGCAGAATATCAGCAAAACTTTTAACTAACATCTCTGCCGTGCGTGTGCAGGTTGCACGCGAACAACCTACACAAAGAGAAGTTCTGCAACAAACACACGAGTGTGTTTGGTTAATTGAAAACGGGCATTTGCTGTCACTAATCTACATGCGTCGACTGCTTGTAAGGTAAGTCGGGGAATTTAGATATCTCGCGAAAGAAGTTCGAAACAGATGCCAGAATCGCACTAGACAGCCAGTTTTAAAGGGGTGACGGATTTTATAGGGTCTTGGGCGCCCATTAACCTATTGGCCGTTGACGCTGTCCGGTAATTGGTTTTTTTTTCGAGCGTGGTTTTGGTGCATTATTGGCTCACATCTCTAACAGAGCCCAAGTGTAACAGCCGGAGATCAAAAACACGACCTTGAGTGTTTTAATGAACTGTTACGCTAGAGGCATTCTTCTTCCGTTTACCTTACAGGTGCTATGCTTTCGGAGCCACGAGCCGACGAAAAACCTCCGACTCCTCCAGATAAGTCTTCCCATTGTATTTTTCGTTTTTCCGTAGCCTTGTTTATTAGTTTTCAATTTTTTGTATGCTAGACTAAACGTTTGTCTTTTCAATTACTTTTTCAATTCAATTATTTTTACTAAAGACCCGTCGGGGTCCCAACAAAGCAAGTAAAAATAAATTTACATCCGTCAAGAAAAACGAAAAACGAGGGGTGAAAAAAAGTCCATTTGCAAATTAAAAAATGATTGTACTAATTAAACAGCAGAAAAAAAACCCTCGACAAAATAGAAACAGAAAAATGCGGGCAGGACTGGCCTGCATGTGGCGGTATAGAATGGAATATCGTCGGACATCAACAGGGCCGAAATAAATGTCAGCTGTATATGGCATTGTATAACGGATTTCATAAAATTGTACGTAGGCGGGTCAGTCAGGACTGGCCTCTATGTGGCCTTGAATAAGATAAAAAGGTGGCGAAATTTAAAACCAGTCTCGAGGTGATAGGAACCAAGATGCGGTCGGTTACATTCAACCGAGTCCAACCGAGGATGGGGTAAGGGAGATGCGACCAGACTACTAGTATATGGCGAATACGGAAGGTTTCACCAAGAGCATCGATGGTGCGCATTCTGTGAGGGCACGATGCATGAACTGAAAAATTGGAAAAATTAACATTTCTGGTGAGGGATCTTAGGAAGCGAGACTACTCATAAAGGAAGGAAATGTGAACAGATACGGAAATTTAATGGCGGCATGCTGAATTACCGGTAGCCCTTTCTCAGTGTCATAGAAAAAGTTGTCTGGGAAGGATGAGGAAAATAAAAGTTTAATCGTGTCATTATTCAGATAAAGGGATAGCCTTCTCTTAAATGTGTGTAGATTTTTCTGAGGATCTTATATTTATTGGAAGGTTATTCCAGAGGAATGTATGGGTAGAACCGAAAAAAGGAGCGCTTGGAGGTGGAGGACGCTGAAGGAGGTATAATCAGAGACGAATTGCGAAGATTGTATGGGCGACTACTAGGGATAAGTGCTGAAATCCGAGGAAAATTTTAACTATGATTAATGCGAAAGAAGAGACAGAAGCCCGCTTCTAGTCTTCGAACCCATAAACATTTTAGGTTAATTAGCTGGCATCTATCTGATTTGGAGATATTGGGATGCTCCCTATCTAAAAGTTTTTTTAGAAAAAAGTCTTTGGACATTTACAATTTTCAAACGACTAGCTTCATTCATTAAACCGAAGAATGGGCAACAATACTCGAGAATGGGAAGTACGAACATATGATAGAGCCTTAATTTAATTTCAGGAAGATAGAAATTGTGAGAAATAAAGCAACAAATCTGGGCATATTTGGCTGTAATTCTGTCAGCGTGCGGCGAGAGATCAAGATTACTAGTGTAGCTTAAACTTAATCCTTGATGGTGGTACATTCAGTCATAGGTGTGCCTTGAAAGACCACTGGTTGGGGTAGCCTATCAGGACCAAAACACATAGCGACATTTAGACGGAGAGAATTCCATTAGCCATTTTGAGCTCCAAGCTGAGAGAGCGAGCAAGTCAGCATGTATTTGCTCCAGGCAATGAAGGCTCGTAGATTTATTGAAAGAATATACACATTTGAGATCATCAGCATAAATAAATGATTGAGAATGCTTAACTGTCGCCGAGATATCATTTACGTAAAGCAAGAACAAAAGTGGACCTACAACGGTGCCTTGTAGGACACCACTTACAATAGGGTTTTCACTGGAAAGTGAAGATCCCACCATAACCTTTTGTTAACGATTAGACAGGTATGACCTGAGAAAGTCTATTAGTGGACTGTGAAATCCCATAGCTACCAATTTAATCAAGAGTCTTTTATGTGGTACTTTATCAAAAGCTTTTCTAAGATCAAAATAAATAACGACAACAAATAGGTGGTCATTACGAAGAGAGGTAAGTTGATGCAGAAACGATAGATGACGTGTTTCACAAGAGCGATCTGGTAAAAAGACATGCTGGGAAGGGCTAATAACTTGATTGGCTATGCAAAATTCGGTAATTTTTACGGCGATAATTTTTTCAAAGATTTTGGCGAGAGAGGGTGTTTTATGGACACCTTGGTAGTTCTGTACGTCAGAACGACAGCCAGGCTTAAATACTGGAATAATAATAGAAGTTTTCCAATAGTCAGGGAAGAAGCCATTTACGAGAAATACTGAAAAGATTTTGCTAAGCAGAGGAGGAAAATCTCTTAGCTGTTTTATCAGAGAGTTTGGGATATTGTCCGTACCTACTGAGCGAGAGTTAGGAAGATGGCTTATCAGTTTTTTAATACATTCAGGAGGAAAATTAATGATGTGAAGAGAAGCATCAGACAACGGAGGAATTAAAGGGATTGGGTCAGTTTCAATAGTGAAATGTTTGGCAAAGAACGAATTTAAAATTTCTGCTTTGCCTGACTCCTCTGTAATGAAGGCATCGCTAGTACTAAGCAAAGGCGGAATGACTTGGTGGGACTTAGCAGATGATCTTTGACGGAAGATCTGAGCAACTGATTTAGAAGCATTCACGTCATTAATAGCTAAAGATTCTCTACGCCTATCTCGCGCGAGCCTCATTTTCGAAGCTAGTTCAAATATTTCAACGATTCTTAGATGAACTGATAATGAGCTCACAGAAGGATCTTTAAACTGCTTCCGTAACTTTTTAAGTCTGTTTTTAAGAAAGTGTGGGCTAGCGGTGGAATTAGCACTCGATTTGAACATCTTCCGAGGAATAAGGTCAAGAAGTCCTTCTGTTACGCATTGAAATAAATTGTTGAAAAAATTTAGATCATTATTTGAAAAAAATATTGTGCCAATCAAGAGTGCATGTAAAGTTCCTTGTTAACATTAGCAAAGTCAAAAATACTACGTTGAACTGTTGGCTTTGCGGAAATGGCAAGTGGAAAGCGACTATGGATTAATGCATGATCACTTGCAAAAAGGCCATGATAGAAATCCATGGATAAAGGGATGGTTCCATAAGTAAATATTAAGTCTAAAACACTGTCGATTCTGGTCGAAGAGTGAACTAATTGAGTCAGGTTTGAAAAGGAAATTGTGTCAAGCAGATTCTGGAATTTAAGAAGAGAAGTATGTGTGAGCCAGTCAATTTCTGGCAAATTAAAATCGCCTACAATTATCTTGACATCGAAAGACGTT